TAGCCTGAGGACCGAGCCCTGGGGTATGACCCACTGCTCATATCTCACCAGGTTGAGTACAACGCATCCACCACTACTCTCTGGGTGCGCCCCATCAGCCAATTTTTTACCCATCCAACTGTGCAAGCATCAATGCTACAGTTGCTTAATTTATTGATGAGGATGGGGTGAGAGACAGTGTCAAAGGCCTTCTTAAAGTCCAGAAAGACTACGTCCATGGCAACACTGTCATCCAAGGATTTAGTTACTTGGTCATAAAAGGCAATCAGGTTGGTCTGGCAGGACCTGCCTTTGGTGAACCCATGCTGATTGCCCCTGAGCATGATCTCCCCTGCAGGCCCCCCACAGATGTGCTCCTTGATGATTCTCTCCAAGATCTTCCCAAGCACTGAGGTGAGGCTTACAGGCCTATAGTTACTTGGGTCCTCCTTCCTCCCTTTCTTGACAGTTGGGACCACATTAGCCAGTTTCCAATCCCCTAGCACCTGGCCAGATGACCACAAATGCTCATATAGCCGGGCCAAGGGCTCCGCGATGACCCCTGCCAACTCCCTCAACACCCTTGGGTGGAGGGCATCTGAACCTACAGATTTAAAAATGTCTAGCCCTTCCAAAAGATCCCTAACTACATCTGCACTGACTGAAGGCCTGACAGAGGTATCCCCAAGATTGTCCCTACCTCTGGTAGGTGGGATGTCCCGGTCCCTGTTCAAGAAAACAGAGGCAAAGAAACCATTAAAAATATCAGCTTTCTTGACTGGCATAGCAACAAGATTACTGTTTGCATCTTGAAGGGGCCCTGCATTGTCCAGATTTTTTTTTTTTGATAACTACACCAGAATGTACCACAGGGATTCCTCACAAGAAACTGTGCAGGGTCTTGAAGGGAGAGGCAACAGAAATGGCTAAGGAGCATAAGTGTTAACAGAAAAAGATTCTTCTCTTCAAGTGTAATGTCATGCTACTTTATTTTTTATTATCATTTTTTATTTCACTCCAAGTAAAAAAACATTTGAAAGCAAAAAAAAACCCCCAAAACAAAAAACAAAACCCTTTACAGAGATTCACTTTTCAAAGATTAACTAGCTACAACTATGGAGAAACACATAGCCCATAGGCTAATGCAAACTTCTAAACTAGGGGTTTCAAACTTACGGCCTACAGGCCCGTGTCATATGGGTTCTGGGCCTGGTACAGGGGCCAAAAATTTGGGGATGGGCCGCCTAAATCTGGGGCATGGAGTTCTTTTGGGCATGATGCATGTTGATGGCAGAGGGATGAGCAACAATTGTGTTAATCTCCACCACTGCTTACCCCACTGTCATGTTCAGATTCAGCCCACAAGGAGCCCTGTGGTCTGGAACTGGCCCAGGGAATGCGGTGAATTTCACATCTGTATTTTAAAGGTTGTAACCCCATTTTGGCCAATGTAGCCCAGACTTCCCACACAGCCCTACCAAAAGAATATCATGCTGATATCTTTTTTCAGCTGTTAGTCTTCAAATGCACTGAAAAGAAAGACAATGTTATGTCAAGAACTTGTTGGTGCTTCTCCGACTCCTTAATACTTGTCAATGTCCTGCTTGATGTGAGGGAAGGGTTAAATTTGTGCTTGAAATGCCGTACAGAAATCAGGCATATTTTCCACTCCTGATTTTTTAAATTATTATTATTTTAAAATAGAAAGTCTGTGTGTCAGAACACATAATACCAGTTCAGAGAAGGCCTAGGACTAAGGCCCAAGTCCGAGGCCTATCACAGTCAATGGAGACTTTCCATTGGTCTCAGTGGGCTTTGTATAAGAGCAAAGGAATTTCACATCAGGACTGGAGTAAATTGGCATAGTTCTTGCTTGCTTTTTGTTTGGCTGTAGCCACTGCTGTTAATTTCTCACTTTAATGAGCATTAAAGTAATTACTTCAAAATAGTTTAACTAATCTTTTTTTTTTTGGACTCGCTTAAGAATACAGCAATTATTTTGGATTATAACACAGGATTAACCCTCCATCCAAGAAAATCAACAAAAACATCACATCTCTATATTATTGTATGCTAACCCACATCTCCTTTGTGTCATAGATACCGTCAAAGACATAAATACTGATGCTATTGGTAAATGAGTTGATTCTGATTCCTTCGTGTGAAGGATAACAGTTTGCATTAACACAGCACAGGTCAGAACAGTATACCAGAGCAACTTAGAAAGATGGGAATTATTAGATTCTTTATAGATGAGTAGAACAGACACAAAGTGGTAAATGTAAAACATTTTAAAGGCCTATGCAAAGATACTTTGATTATACCTATTCAAAAGGCAATTTCAGCACCTAAAAGAGATCAGTATATGCACTTTAGGTACTTACATGCACAGACACCTAAAAGGTACATGCAGAAGTAAATAGCAAATACATGAAACTGCATGCAGGCAAACTGCTTAAGGTGCCCCACAGGAAATACAGCAACCATTTCAGTCACATAAATGGTGCAAACCATTTGCCAAATCCTGTTGATTTCCATATGAAAGGCACTGCCTAAAATGAATTAAGCATGATTGCTATTTCCTTCTAGACCAGAGTGAACTCAAACCTATGCCACCCTGTTAGCACCTGATTAAGGCTGCCTTGTATTTCAAGACTTCATGAAGAAGCAATTAGTTAATCAAAGAGCTGCATTATACTTTGTCTGAGAGCAACTTCAGCTACTTAACCTTCTGTCTTGGTGTGAACTAAGCAGACAGTGCTGCACACGACAGTTGTGCCAGCAGAATGCTGAGTGCTTCCACATTCAAAGCTCCTTAGGACCTGTAAATCCCTTGCCTCCTTCAAGCAGAGTCATTCACCTCTGACAAGCAGAGGAAGCTTCTGCTGCCACCTGAAAGCTAACTGAAGGCACATACAGAAATTCCTCTGCTTTCTGTGTCATGCTTGCTTCAGGAGGTGTTGCCTCCCCATGGTACACGTTGCACTGAATGGGTTGTACTGAATTCTGTGGTTAGAGCTGCTTATCTCTGAGTATGTTGACACTGCTCTCTACTCCAAATGGACCTACTGTCTCATTAAAAAATGTCGTTAAAAATTGGGAACTGGATGCAAACACACTGGGCTAGGTTTTGCTTGATGGAGGGGTGCATGCCTATGAGCAGAAGAACCAAAGAAAAGGGAAGAGACAAGCAGCCAGAACACCAAGGAAACAGTTTGAAATACTCAGAAGACAGCCTTAAGAGAAAGCATAGAGAAAAAACTTTTGGGATGCATTGTAGACTGGAAAGAGGTTTGGGACTATGAACAAAAGAAACTGCTTCCTTTTGTTTCATTCCAACTGTGTTCAGGGAAGCAAGACTCGGCGTATGTTTTTTCTATATAAACAAAATTGCATCAAAGAATATTTGACTTCATCATTAGCTTCTTCTCATGATAGACATGATCTTCAAAACCCTGAATAATGACTAACTGCTGGAGAGAAAAGGTAAAACAAGATAAAAGCATATGGCACTTTTTAAAATATGTGAGCCCTACAATTGTATACATAATCTGCTGGCCAGTTTCCTTTACTTAGGTCAATGTCAAATATAAATGGTACACACACTAAATAAAGGTTGTGACTAACTGATTTTTACTGAGAAGGAATGAGGAAAAACAAATTTTTATACACACAATTGTTGTAGACTAGCAGCAGTTGCCAGCACAAGCTGTTCTAGTTTCATTGCCAGTGCCAGGG